AGTAAAATGAGAGAGAAGAAAGAAGAATAAAAAAAAAAAAAAAAAGAAAAAAAAAGAAAGAGAAGAAAAAGAAAACCAGAAAAGAAAAAAAAAAAAACAGAAAACAAAAAAAAATAAAGAAACCAATCCAGCACACTAACACCACAAATATAAAAAAAACAAAAAAAAAAAAGACAAAAGAAAAATAAAAAACAAAAAAAAAAAAAAAAAAAAAAAAAAAAAAAAAAAAAAAAAAAAAAAAAAAAAAAAAAAAGAAAAAAGAAGAAAAGAAAAGAGAAAAAAAAAAAAAAAGAAAAAAAAAAAAAAAAAAATAAAAAAAAAAAACAAAAATATAAGAACAGAAAAAAAAAAGTACAGTAAATAGAAAAAATAAAAGAAACAAAAAGAAAAAAAAATAATAGAAGAAAAAAAAAAAAGAAAAAAAAAACAAAAGAAAAAAAAAAAAAAAAAAAAAAAAAAAAAGAAAAAAAAAAAACGATAGAGTCATGCAGCATAAGTCTCCGCACGAGAACCGTGTCGACTCATCAGAGACGAACAAAACCCCCTCTAACTGAACTCCCCCCCCCTCTCCCCCAGACCCGAGTGCAGTTACTTCGTGCTGAACTCGTCCTCAGGCCAGGTCGAGGAGGAGCCGTGCGTCGAGTGGGACTTCGACAACTCCACCTTCAGCTCCACCGTTGGCACTGAGGTAATCTTTGATTCAGACCGTTTGGTAAGCGGTGTTGGTGCCTGTGACTTGGCGGTGACAAAGGTATTGGCGTTACTAGATACAACATATTATGACAGTGCTCAATAGATACAAAATATTATGACAGTGCTCAATAGATACAAAATATTTTGACTGTTCAATCGATACACAATATTATGACAGTGCTCAGTAGATACAAAATATTATGACTGCTTAGTAGATACACAATATTATGACAGTGCTCAGTAGATACAAAATATTATGACTGCTTAGTAGATACAAAATATTATGACAGTGCTCAGCAGATACAGATATTATGACAAGCAGATACAAAATATTATGACTGCTCAGTAGATACAAAATATTATGACAGTGCTCAGCAGATACAATATTATGACAATGCTCAATAGATACAAATATTATGACAATGCTCAATAGATACAAATAATGACAATGTTCAGTTACAATTGTTTGTTCATGTTACTATATTTGTTTTTGTAACTACATACATATGCTTATAGATAGACTGGTTGATAGATAGAGACATTCATCTACTTAAATCCTTATTCACGTATATCATATTTACTGGGAAAGAGACAATGCATAAAGATAGATAGATTGATAGATAGAGACATTCATCTACTTAAATCCTTATTCACGTACTTCATATTTACTGGGAAAGAGACAATGCATAAAGATAGATAGATTGATAGAGAGAGACATTCATCTACTTAAATCCTTATTCAAGTATTTCATATTTACAGGGAAAGAGACAATACATAAAGATAGATTGATAGAGAGAGACATTCATCTACTTAAATCCTTATTCATTTACTTCATATTTACCGAGAAAGAGACAAACGTAGATATGAATCCGCAGAACATTAAGGCCCCTTGTATCCACTGTAGTTCCAGCTTGCCTGCGGTTGGGAGTACCTTCGCTCGACGTACCAAAGCATCTACATGTTCGGCGTCACGATCGGGGCGCCGTTCAACGGGGTTCTGGCCGACAGGTGAGCGGCTCTCGTTTGGGAACGGCCTGGTGGTGGTGGTGGTTGGTGGGGGGGGGGGGGGGGTTCTTGTCCTTTGCTGTTTGGGGTTAATGTGTTCGGCTTTTTTTTTTTTTTTTTTTTTTTATCTCCCTTCTTTCTTTCGTCTTTTTGTGTTACTGTATGTTTCTCGGTATTTATTTGTATGTGCGCGTGTAAGATTGTGTATATATGTGTGTGTGTGTGTGTGTGGTTGTGTGTGTGTCTAAGATTTCTCATTCACATAGATACAGACATTCATAATTCTCACAATACTCCCGACAAACGTTAAGAACGGGCGGAAAATCTAATAAATGAAAAATATCGCGAACTCTACGGTATTTTTGACTAACTGGCAATAAGAAAATAACTGGTTCGTAGTTTTGTCTACTACCCTTCAATCACATCATCATCATCAATGGGGCTGACGCCGACGGGGGCGCATAGCCGCATCCACCCTTCGCTTCCACCTACGAGGATCCCTCATGGCTAGACGCCAGGCAGGGACTCGGCCCATCTCTGTTTCTTCACGGCAGGTTTGGTCGATCTGCCCAAGCCACGACTTCCTCGGTCGTCCCACAGGCCTCCTCCACCCAGGGTTGTCTCGAACAGAGACGACCTGATGGGCAGGATCATCCTGAGGAAAGCGAGCCAGGTGGCCGTATAGCCTGAGTTGGCGATCACGGATTGTGCAGATAACAGGTCCTGTGCCAGTCTCACGGTGCAACCGTTGGTTGGACACATGGTCCCACCAACAGTGCCCCATGATCTGGCGCAAGGACCTATTACAAAAGGCTTCAAGACGAGCCTCCAAGGCACAGGACAATGTCCAGGTTTCGCTACCGTATAGCAAAACTGGCATTATCAGGGCCTTGAAAACCCGTAGCTTGGTCCTTCTGCACAGGTACCGACATCTCCAAATACTCTTGTTGAGAGAGTTCATGACCCCTGCTGCCAGGCCAATCCGTCTGCTGACTTCATGGTCTGACAGCCCAGAGTTATGAACTACACTGCCAAGATATGTAAAGCTCTCTGTGACTTCAATGTCCTCGCCGCAAGCACGTACCGACTGAACAGGTTCTCCTAACAAGTCCCCAAATTCCTGGACCTTGGTCTTGGTCCAGGAGACCTCTAGACCCAAGGGCTTCGCTTCATTGCTAAATGCATCGAGAGCCGCCACTAGGGTTTCCAAAGACTCAGATAGAATGGCAACGTCATCAGCAAAGTCAAGGTCTGTAACCTCAATCACATGACTAACGTTTTTTTTCTTTGACAACGCGTTTAGGTTTGAAACCCTATTTATAACCCCCCCCTAAAGCGAAAGATGAGTTGCGTTTGGTTAAACTTGTTTTTATATGCTATATCATAACAGGAATTCTGCAAATCAAGTCCAGGTTTATAGTTCTTAGGCCTTCTTGTGCCTATCCATAAGATAATTGCAATAATTATAATTAGAGTATAACATAATTGTTTTAAATATAATTTTTATTATTTTATATTACATATTTTTTTTTTTTTTGCATAGCCATACTTTCTCTTCTAAGAATTGGAAAATCTAATGTCAGCAGCTTATACTATAAAAGAGTATCAGACTACCTAAATTTTCTTAGGGATATAGGATCCAAAATAACTTAAAATTCTACCATTTAACAGGTACGGGCGTAAGATGACAGTGGCCGTGGGTTTTGTCGCCTACTCCGCCCTGGCCATCGGCTCCTGCTGGATCCCCAACCTCTCGGCTCTCCTGCTCTCGCGCTTCCTCATGGGCGCCGTCCACCCCACGATACAGAAGACGGGATATATACTAGGTGAGGGGTGGCGGAGGAGGGAGAAGGCAAGGGAAAAGGAACAGGTAGAGAAGGAGGGGAGAAGGTATAGGAAAGGCAGTGGACAGAGATACAGATGGCAATAACGATGAGGATGGAAGGTGGAGAGAGAGAGAGAGAGAGAGAGACAGAGAGAGAGAGAGAGAGAAGAGAGGGGGGGGGGGAGATAGAAGAGAAAGAGAGAGTACAAAACCATTTAGAGCGTTATCAATTTTCGCAGGCATGGAGGTCGCGGATCCCAAGTGGCGCACGCATATCGGCATTGTATTGTTTCTGCCATGGGCGCTTGTCTCATGGCGTGGGGCGGGTTCGCTTACCTCGTCCGGGAATGGCGGATGCTTCAGCTGACCGTGTCTTTGCTGTGTCTGGCCTTCTTGCCTACTCTGTGGTAAGTTTCGATGAGATTTCTGTGATACAACTTTCGATATCTGTGTCTATCTCTCACTATCTCTTTCTCTGTCTGTCTGTCTGTTTCAGTCTGTCTGTCTGTCTGTCTCTCTCTCTCTCTCTATCTGCAAAGTTCACAGAGTCACTAAAGTTCGGAAAAGTCCTGGTGTGATGTCTTCCCCTTTTCCTTAACCTTCTCTTCCCATCCATCCTCCATCATCCAGCCGCTTCTCTTTCTACCATCCGTCTTCTCCCACCCTCCTCCTCCTCTCCCCCTCCTTTCCTCCTCCTCTCCTCCTCCTTCACCTCCTCCTCTCCTCCTTCACCTCCTCTGGATTATCCTATTAGGTTCATGGACGAGTCGCCTCGGTGGCTGGCCGTGAGGGGGCAGCACCGGCGCGCCCTCCGAGTGCTGCAGAGGGCCGCCAGGTGGAACGGGGTCGCCCTCCCCCGAGGACGAGCTTCTGCTCCTGCTCAAGGACGGAGTCAAGGACGAGGTGCGAGCGCGTGCTTGTGCGCATGTGTAAAAGGAACACACTTTATATATATATATATATATATATATATATATATATATATATATATATATATATATATGTGTGTGTGTGTGTGTGTGTGTGTGTGTGTGTGTGTGTGTGTTGTGTGTGTGTGTGTGTGTGTTATATATATTTTTTTTTTTATCAATTTTCCTCGAAATATAAATCCTGTCACTAATCATGCTTCTGAATATACAATACAAGACAGAAGAATAATCCTGGTTCATAATCCTTTTATTTATTGTATTTCTTTTATCACTTGATCCCGTGACGTAGGCAATGGTACGCCGCACCAAGACGCCCGCGCCCACACCGCGAGAGGCTGGTTCAGAAGGCGTTTGGATGAAGCATTTATTCTTTTCAGGCAGGTCACTTTTCCCTCTTCCTCCCTCCCCTTCCTCTCCTCCTATTCTCTTTTCTATTCCTCCTCCTCCTCCTCCTTATCCTTCTTCATTCCTTCCTCATCGTCCTCCTCCTCCTCCTTCCTTCTGCCAAACTTTCCTTATACATTGCTGAAATATATCATACGATTCTTTATATGAATGAAAAATCTTGTATATCTTGTCTGTATATTTTGATTTCGTGGAAATATTGCAATTTCTCTGACATATTTCGCTATGTCGGTTACTGAAAGCGTGCAGAGGATGTAGTCTCAAACCCACAGAATTATTTTGATTATAAGAGCAATATGAATGGTATTAGTAATAGTGATAAAATTAACGAAGATGACAATGATAGTAAAGACAATATATCCTCCTACAAAGACGATACTCATTTTGCTTCTCCACCACTCCCCCACACCCTCTCACACCCTCGCCCCCTCACCCAACAGAACCCCCCGCCTTCGCACCATCACCCTCAGCCTGTACACCAACTACCTACTGGTGGGTGCTGTGTACTTTCGGCCTCTCGCTCAGCGGCGGCGACCTGAGCTCCGACCCGTTCCTGTACATGGTGCTGACGGGGGTCGTGGAGCTGCCGGCCTACACGCTGGTCATCCCCCTGGTGGCTCGCTACGGCAGGAGGGCTCCCGTTGTCGCCTTCTTCTTCATGGGCGCCGTGGCTCTTCTCGCTCTGCCCTTCGTGCCCACGGGTGAGTGAGGTTGTCTGGGGTGGAGGTTTTGTTTCATGAATATGTATAGGTTTCATAATGAAAACCTGAGAAAAATGAAAGCATGATTTCCTTCTTTCTCATCTTGTTCTTTTTTGTTCGTGTTGTTTCTTATGCCAAACAAAATTAGGAATTTACTGTCTACAAACATGTCTTCAGTCAATACCAAAGTTTCCCTGACAATCAAAACAGGAAAGTAAAACATTTAGCATAGAATACCCTTCAAAAATAATATATAGAAAACGTTATTTTAAAATTATAAGGGGACTAAAATAATATTTAATTTTCCTCTCAGGTAGTGGGGAATCGATGACCTTAGCGCTTATGGGGAAGATGAGTATCGCTTCGGCCTTCCAGATCCTCGACTTTTACTCCTCAGAGCTCTTTCCCACCGAGGTTAGGACGAGGGGCATGAGCACAGCCCTTGTCATGTCAAGGGTGGGGTCTACTTGTTCGCCTTTCATCACGGACTACTTGGTAAGTTTTTTTCTTCTTTTTTTTTTTTCTTTTCTTATTTTCTTTATTTTTGACAGGAATAAATCATGGTGAATGTTATTATTATTATTTTTTATGGGAAGGGAATATTATGTAAGTAGTTTGAATGAGCTTGGATGTGTTTTAGATTTTTACCAATCACTCATGACAGCAAGATATGACAGTCTTCTTGCTTTTTGTTTAAATCTCTATTTTTATAACGCTCTCTCTCCCTCCCTCTCTTTTCCTCCCTTCCTCTTCCTTCCTGTTCCTTCCTACCTCCCTCTCTTTTCTTCCCTCCCTCCCCGTTCCTCCCTCTCTTTTCTTCTCCTCCCTCTCTTTTCCTTCCTCTCTCTTTTCCTCCCTTCCTCCCTCTCTTTTCTTCCTCCCTCCCTCTCCTTCCTTCCTTCCTCCCTCTCCTCCAGGGCCCCTTGTACCCGTGGGCGCCGTCAGCAGTTCGGGGCGGCGTCGGTGCTCGCGGGGCTGGCCACGCTCGCCCTGCCGGAGACGCTGCACGTGCCTCTCCCGGACACACCATCGCACACCTGGAGGAGCGGGAGATCAGGACCAGGTAATTCGGCTGGAGGTTTACTTTGGAGTTGTTCGTCTGTTCCTTTCTTTATCATCCGTTTTTTTATTATTTATTTATTTCTTTTGTTATTGATGTTATCTGTGTTGTTAAGATCATTATCGTTGTCGGTATGATCTCTTCTGTTATTATTTTATTATTCATTTCCTGTTGTTGTTATTGTTTTTTTTTTTTTTTTTTTTTCGTCTCCCCTAGTTTACTGTTTTTGCTGTCTTTTCTGTTTGTTTCTTACCTTTTCCTTTGTTGCTTTTTCATTTCGAGGAAAACAATATATATATATTTCTTTTTTTACCGGTATAATGATTTTGTATGGGATTTTAAATTATAACTCTTGTCGACTAAGAGCTCTTACATTAATATCTGTAATCTCTGTAAAACTGAAATAAACAGGAAATAATATTTGCAATTGATCATTACTTACGTCAGAGAAATTAGGAACAGGCGCCTGACTGACTTATATACGGACAGACATGTAAACAGACAGATTGACGGACAGATAAACACTGACTGACTGACTGACTGACAGAATGACAGACAGATGATTTGACTGGACTGATAAGGAAAGATAGACTAAAAGACATATAAACCAAAGGACGGACTGAGACAGACAGACAAGAAGATAAACTAACTGAAGCGACGACATACATAATTATAGCTTTGAGTCCTATTTCCCTTCCTTCCAACAGCGGGTTCCTGCGACTCCCTGTCCGCGATCCCAGAATCCCTACCATTTACGTCAGCCAAGTGGATTAGGGGATTCCACTCCTAGGGGATTGGGGATTCCACTCCTAGGGGATTCCACTCCGGGGATTCCACTCCTAGGGGATTCCACTCCAAGGGGATTCGGGGATTCCAGGGGGGGATTCCCACTCCTAGGGGATTCCACTCCTTCCACTCCTAGGGGATTCCGGGGATTCACTCCTAGGGGATTCCACTCGGGGGGGGATTCCACTCCTAGGGGATTCCACTCCTAGGGATTCCAGGGGATTCCACTCCAGGGGATTCCACTCCCACTCCAGGGGGATTCCACTCCTAGGGGATTCCACTCCTAGGGGATTCCAGGGGATTCCACTCCTAGGGGATTCCACTCCAGGGGATTCCACTCAGGGGATTCCACTCCAAGGGGATTCCACTCCGGGGATTCCACTCCAGGGGATTCCAGGGGGATTCCACTCAGGGGATTCCACTCCTAGGGGATTCCACTCCCAGGGGATTCCACTCCTAGGGGATTCCAGGGGATTCCACTCCTAGGGGATTCGGGGATTCCACGGGGATTCCACTCCTAGGGGATTCCACTCCAAGGGGATTCCACTCCTAGGGGATTCCACTCCAAGGGGATTCCACTCCAGGGGGGATTCCACTCCGGGGGATTCCACTCCTAGGGGATTCCACTCCAAGGGGATTCCACTCCAAGGGGATTCCACTCCGGGGATTTCCACTCCAGGGGGATTCCACTCGGGGATTCCAAGGGATTCCACTCCTAGGGGATTCACTCCAAGGGGGGATTCCACTCCAAGGGGATTCCACTCCAAGGGGATTCCACTCCAAGGGGATTCCACTCCAAGGGATTCCACTCCTAGGGGATTCCACTCAAGGGGATTCCACTCGGGGATTCCAAGGGATTCCACTCCAGGGGGATTCCACTCCAGGGGATTCCACTCCAAGGGGATTCCATCTCAAAAGGGGATTCCACTCCTAGGGGATTCCACTCCAAGGGATTCAGCTCCCATTAAGAGGATGTCCCTTAACCTCGCAAGAGCGGACTTCCCATTCTGGTGATCCCTACCGCGGAGGTGAGAATTCCTATAGAGAGTTTGCGACTCTACAGCCGGCGGATTCCACTTCCATTTGGAGGGGATTGTGCGAACTATCCTCAGGGGATTCCATCTCAAGGTGGGAATTGCGCCAAGTGCCACGCTACCTCCTCCAGGTTGGAGAAAGGTTTGGACCAAGCTATCTCAACCCTAGCGAGTGGAATTCCCCTTGAAGGGGATGTGGAATCTGCCCTAGGGAGCTCACTGCGCAGAGAGATGGCACCTCTTAGAGTCGCGATATACCACCCTTGGAGATCGTGAATCCTCTGTGAGTGGACCTCCGCCATGTGGGGGATTGGCACATCCTCCTCACAGGGAGTGGGAATCCGGCATTCCGTGAGTGACAATTCCCCACAGGGTGTATGTAAAGTGGTACCATCACCCTTAGGCACGAGTGGGAAATGGGCCCCTTGATTGTTTTGGAACCTCACCTCTCAAGGAAAGGAGGAATCATTCCCCCTATGGAGTACGGTACTATCAGGCCCGGGCATTTCTCGCACTGGATCCGGAATTCCCTTTGCTAGTGAGTGTTGACCTCGAAGTGCCCCGTTGATTGCCAACGCTTCAGGAGGGAGAAATAACTCCCACCTCCATATTGGGGAATAGTTGTGTGATCCCGGACTCATACGTAGGTAACGGTGATGTAGGAGATAGAATTCCCCTTACTGTGTATGGGTTGATGCTTTGTATATTGTTGCACACGATTTTCGATAAGAGTGCGAGTACGGAAAAATTTGACTATAGGTGATAGTGGAAAAATGATGTACGTGATGCTGCTTCAGCTTCCTTACTGAAGCACACGCGACAAGTTAGAGGATAATTCCCCGTAGGGGTAGAAGGTTGCGACAGGGAGAATTCTGTACCACCCTTAGGCTTATCGCTTCGCTAGATATCGGCCCCACTTTGAATGAAAGGCTAGAAATGGAATGTATAATTGCAACTTCTCTTGTCACCGAGAGAAAAGATGTCTTAAGTAATGTTTCCATGCATATTTTGGGACTGCTAGTGGGTGACCTACTCCCACTACCTAGTGGAAGATCGTCTTGGACCTGTTACTGAATGCGCCTCCCATCCTTTAGGGTGGTCTGGTAATGTACCTACAGTATTCTTGGGTATATCCTCCGGGTGTGGAAATTTAAGTCGCCCAGTTAACATACCCTTACCTACGATGAATTGTTGGATAGTCAACACTGTTAGAGAGGTATGGTGGTGGGATAAAATATGTTCTTAGACCTTTAATCAGGATGAAAAGTTTGGAGGATTCTCCTCGCCAAAAGGTTAAGGGGGAGGTGGGGAGGGATTACCGCACAGTAGATGAGGAGTATATGAAGTAAATTCTCACATGTTATAAGATAGGTAATGGGAATAGTGGATAGATGTTATCAATCTACAATTATAGGTAAGTGGTGGCATTAAAACCATAGACAGGTAAAGGTGTGGATATCTTCCTACATCATAGAGTCTTATATTTGGAAAACTGCGAGCCCATTCAATTGTTAACCATTCAATAGTTCAAGTTAGTGCTCATTGGAAGGTGAAGTCCTTTACTTCTTGTAGAGAATTGGAGTTCCCAATTTACATGTGAGTGGTGTCTTAATCTAAAGCAAAATAAACATTTACATGTTTACCTTCAAATTCTTTTCTCCCCGTACTTCACGTAAGAGGCTGCGGCATTCAGATTTGGGTATTATCTTTGTCCCACCCTTAGAAAAGGGGACCTTCATTGGATCGTGAAGCTGAAGTCCATAACTTTTTCGATGTCAAACTTTATTTATTGCTGCAATGAACTTCCCAACGCACATGATTCGAAAAAAAATGGGGTATAGGCCTCCGGCGCAAGGTGACCGAGTAAATGTTGCATTTAACCTGGTTGGGAACTCTGAGAGAGAGAGCAGAGAGAGAGGAGAGAGAGAGAGAAGAGGAATAATGATTTGAATATATCGTCGTCGCCTCGCTGGTCAACCTACTGTAACGATAATATTGATCCTCGTACATTGTTTAGAACGCCTTGTGGAGTAATAAATTATTGCTCATTAGGATGAGACCGAGCAGTTAGATTGGAAGAGAGAGAGGTGGGTGAGGAAGAGAGAGAGGAGGAGAGAGAGTGAGAGGGTAGAGAAGAGAGGGTAGAGAGAGAGTAGAGGTAGAGAGAGAGAGAGAAAGAGAGAGAGAGAGAAAGAGAGGGAGAGAGAGAGATAAGCTAGAGCATGAAGAGACGAGACGGCAGAGAGAGAGATGAGAGAGAGAGAAGAGGAGTTGAGGAAGAAGTAGACCCATGAAATCGGTTAAGGAGTGCCACTGAAGGAGAAGGAGATGAGCAGTTAGAGGTGGTGAGAAGAAGAGAGAGAGAGGGAGAGAGATACGTCGCTTAGGGTGGAATCCCCTAGGGGCGTGGCATGCCGCCTAGAGAGTAGGAATCCGCAGAGCGGAGTTTGGAGGATCCGTCGGAAGTTAGGGATCACTAGAGGAGAGTTGGGAATACTAGGAAAGGCTTTGGAGAACCTGGGAGTGATCCCGTAGGGAAGTGGAGTACCAGCACTGAAGGAGATGGGAGACGAGGCAACGATGGAGATGGAAGATTCCGAGCCTAGGAAGTGGAGTCCCCATGAAGGGAGTAGGAATCCACGATGCGAGGAGAGAGAGAGAGTAGGGAGAGAGAGAAGAGATGTCCCAGAACGTAGAGGGAGGAGAGGAAGAATCGAGCAGAGAGCTAGGGAGAGAAGGATTGAGGGAGAAAGAGAGAGCAGAGAGAGAGACGACGAGACTTGTGGAGGAGAGAGAGGTGGGAAGATAGAGCAGAGACGAGAGAGAGAGAAGAGAGTAGAGATGAGGAAGGTATGAGGGGAAGAGAGAGATCAGAGCTAGAAGAGAGGAGAGAGTAGGGGATGAGAAGAGAGAGATCGAGCAGAGAGCAGATGAGAAGTGGAAGAAGAGCCTAAGAGGGAAGGAGAGAGTAGAGAGAGAGAGGAGGAGAGAGAGAGGGGTGCGGTGAGGAAACAGTGAGTTTGTGCTTATATACTTGGGTGGAATCCGCCCTAGTAGATGGAATTTCCCCTTGGAAGATTGAAGATACTCACCGCTGGATATTGGGAGTGTGGAGATGCAACAGGCTCACTATCATTTGCTTGTGCTGAACGTAAATTAGGCGATTCATGGATCGCGGACAGGAAGTCGCAGGAACTCCGCTGGTTGGGATAAGGTAAGGTGAAATTGAGGAACTCGAATAGCTAATATTATGTATGTCATGTTTCGTCGCTTCCAGTAAATACTCGTCTCTGTCTGTTTGCGGAGTGTCGTTGTCCTGTCTCAGTCGATGGCCGGTCCTGTGTTGGTTCTATTCATGCATTCCTGTCAGGGCGGGTGATGTATGTTTACGTCAAAGTCATGCATAGACGTAATACGAACCGGTGATTTGGTTGGTGCTGTGTGTGTTTGTCGTAAATATACCACACGCATGTAATTCTCATCTAAGTCATGTCTGTAGCTCTACGTTCTCCAATCTTTAGTGCATACCAAAGCCACTAGTCCCTCCCTTCTAGAAATATTCATAGATTTATTTCTTTTTAGGTGTGCACTTCTCGTTCCGTGCAGTCCTCGATCTGGTCTTTCAATTCGTTTCTCATGAAATGTCACGCTCTCTGAGATACTTAGAATTCTTTCCGTGCCTGGTTTTCATTCTGTCTGATTCTTTCACATATAACTGTCGTGATATGGATAAAACACGTGTACAATGTGCTATCGTGCGCAAGTTACATGATCATAGGTCATTGATTCAGGGTTACTCGTTTTAATTCCTTGCATCTTGGTTCACTCGCATCCTTGGCGGTTTTCCTTTGCATTAGGTCAATGAATAATCTGCATATCTTAAGTAGTCTCTAATTCGGTTTGTTCATGTCTCTAAGTCTTAGTGACCGCTTTTTTACTTCATGGTGATATATCAGGAAGTATATAAATT